ATTGAGAAGAAAGATACAAATGAGGTGGACACTTGCGGAGAGAAGTAGTAGGTAAGAAGCCATACACGAAGTCAAAGATATGAGAAAAGAAAGGGGGACATAGCTCACAAGCTATCTAAAAATCCTTATGATGAGGACATTAGTAGGAGATTTCAGAATGTCTATCATTGGAAGCAGCACTGATCGACGGCCTTTATCAGAAGACTTTATTTTTGTTTCTTTTATTAGTTATGACGATTGTACCCTTTATATGTTTGTGTTTGAGTTGTAGCCTCGAGGGCATTCTTATCTTTCTTTTCTAATTGTTTGGAGGCCTATATATACAGTCCTCATCTTGTATGAGAGGAGATAATGAATATTGAAATCAAATTTAGTTTTCTTTGCTTGATCTCTAAGTGAGTACATGAGAGGAGAGACCCTAGGTGGGTGAGAGAAATACCCGTCAACCTTTGGTGGATTCCAAGGTTCGCTGCTCCATTCCTTTCTTTTCTAATTCCATTCTACTTTCATCTCCCCTCCTAGCCCCTACTCGCCAGCCTTCCAAACCCCCAAAAATCCCCTTCCTCCTCCCAAAAACTGAACCCCACCCAACACCTTACCCTTGAGTCGCCAGCCTCCCCTCACCCGCCCACCACCAGCTCCACCCAACCCCTCACCACCAGCCTCCCCAAGCTCTACAAACTGCCGACCATCAACCCACCAACCAAGGATTTTGAATTTCAAATTTCAAAATCGTCCATAATTACTTTCCTTAATTGCGTCATCATTAATTTGGAAAGTTGCTTCTTGTAGATTCAAATTCAAATTTGAATTCTAAAACTTTCCCTATTAATAACGTATATTAGGAAACCTCCTAAACCCATTAAAATCTGAAATCAATTCAGATTTAATGGCAATCCTTAATTAAATCCTTTCCGGGGCCACATATTAAATGCAAACACATCAAATTTCCGCTCATGTGGCCGGCCCCCTCTCTAGCCCATTCTCTATCCAATATTTGCCACCCATACCCTTATTAAATCTCCATTAAACCCCCATTGGCTGCCCCCCAATCAAGCCACCCTTATTGGAATTATTTTGAATTTCAAATTGAAGATTCAAATCCCTCCCAACCCCATGCATGCCGCCGACCCCTCCATGGGATCTCCTTCCTCTCTCCTAATTAATCTCCATCCACTTGAATTTGATTTTCAAATTTCAAATTCTTAATTCCATTTTTCTATATTACTAAAATATGAAACTAGTTTCAGATTTTGTATTACTTTCCCTCTCCAAACCCAAACCCTAACTCCACCAAAAGCAAGCCCCTCTTCCTTTTGCCGCCCCTTCTTCATTCCCACCTCTTGGAAACCTTTTTGCCCCATGACTACACTCCAAGAAAGAGGAAGGCTTCCCTCCATCGACAACCCCTTGACTAGT